AGAACAATTAAAATCATACAGAATTTGTGTTCTGATCACAGTGTAATCAAAGTAGAAATCAATAACCAAAAGACAAAATGAAACTCTCCAAACACTTGGAAACAAAATAACGCCTTTCTAAATAATCTGCGAGTCAAAAGTTAGTCTCAAAGGAAATCAAAACATATGTTAAATGGAATGAAAATGAAAATACAAGATATCAAAAATTGTGGGAACAGTTTAAGCAATGCTGAAGGGAAAATTTATAGCACTAAATGCTTACATTAGAAAAGAGGAAAAGGTGACATCATCAAGATGGTGGACTAGGAGATAACAGCTTCCTTTATCTCCACAAAATAACAAATACAGACAGCTATTCACAAACCAAAATAGCCCAGAGAGGGTTCAAGGGCCCATTAAAGAATCTGCAGCAACACAGTGGAGAAAATCAACAGAGAATATCCACACAGAAACAATCTCTGGTGAGACTGACATACCTGAGATACCAGGAGACAGCTAGGAACAAAGTAGAAAGGCAGAGGCTATCTGGTTCCAGTGGCCTGCTCTGCAGAGGATACTGACATACTTTGCTGCTGAGGTAACCAACAGCTATTCCTACCGAGGAACCCCAGAGAGGGAGAAATAGGTGCACACCACTCCTCCCCCACCAAGAATCAGTGCTGTTGAGCCACTTTGGGAAAGAAGTTGCCACCTCTCCCAATGCTGCATGTGCCCTGGCCCTCAAGCCCTGGCAACCCTGCCAGGGCCCAGATCTGGCCTCTGTGCCTCCACTGTGCCCATCCATGTCTCAGACACAGGAGCCATCACCATCATGAGCTGATTCACACTTTGGAGCCAGGAGCCAAGGTCTCTCTGAGTGTGTCCATGCTCCAGGCACCAGCTCAACTACCACAAAGTTATTATTTTCAATTTCAGTGATTCTTTCTTCTATTCCCTCCATTGTACTGCTGAACACATCCATTGAGATTTTTACTTTCCTTAGTTTTCAATTAGAAAATTTCCATTCAGTTTTTCTTTACATCTTCTATTTCTTTGCAGAGAAACATTCTATTATTTTGGTAAGACTATTTTTTTGCCATCTTTTTGAAGCATGTTCATAATTTCTCATTGAAATATTTTTATAGTAGCTGCTTTATATAGTCTTGGTCAGAAAATTTTAATATTTTAGTCATCCCAATTTTGGCATCTATTGATTGTCTTTTTCCATTCAGGTTGATACTTTCCTGTTTCTTGGTATGCTGAGTGATTTTCAAATGAAACCTGGACATTTTGGGTAACATGTTATGAGACCCTGGATATTATTTAAACCTACTATTTTAGCTGTTTTTGTTTGTTTGTTTGTTTGTTTTGACACCACACTGGCAGCAAAAGAGGAGGGGGACTGTTTTGTTCTGCCAGATGGGGGGGGGGGAAGTCTAGGTTTCCCACTTGGTCTCCTTGAAACTTATCTTACTCAGCTGCTATAACAAAATACTATAAACTGGATGGCTTAAAAATGACAGAAATTTACTTCTCACAGTTCTGGAGGCTGGGAAGTCTAAGATCAAGGTACTGGCAGATTTGGTGTCTGGTGAGGGCTGTTTACTAGTTCACAGATGGCAATTGTCTTGCTGTGTTCTCACACAGTGGAGAGAAGCAAGCTCTCTCAGAACTCCTATAATGACATTAACTACATTCATGAAGAGTTTACCCTCATGACCTTATCTAATTCTAATTACCTCCCAAAGACCCTACCTTCAAATATCATCATATTAGAGCACAAGGTTTCAACATATATATTCTGGGGAGTCACAAACATTCATTCTGTAAAGATACTGAACTGAGGGAAAGACCCCTCCTCACTGCTGGGCAGGAGCAGGAGTTCCAGCTCTCCACTAGGCCTCTGTGATAAAGCCTGGCTGGGAAGGGTAGGGGTAGCTTGTTTTACTCCCCATGTGGTCTCTGCTGCTACCATAGGGAGAGACTGGCTTTCTTCCTGCTGGGTGGTTGTGAAAGTCCTCTCACTAGGTCTGCTCTGATACATCCCAACAGGGAGGGAAGGGCTGCCTTGTTACTGCAGGGAAGGAGGTGGAAGTCCACGTTCCCCACGTGGTTTTCACAGACACTGTAGTTGAGATATCATATCCACCTGATGGGGATGAAAACTCCAGCCCTCTCCTTGGCTTTTGCTGACACCACCTGGGTTGGGGAGTCGTACATCATTACAGCCTGATGAAGGACTTGTCCAGACTCCTTACTGGGCACTGCTGTTGTTGGTGGGGCCACTGCTTTTTTCTCTGATGTTTGGCTGGAGTAGACCAGTTATTGTCTAGAGATTTTCTGTCTTTCTAGGCTGCCCTTTTCCTGGTCCCTTGGATGGAAAGAGAAGGCTTTTGTTGGAGCTGTTTCTGCCTGTACCCATTGGTTTTTCCACATTGGCAGCTTTTTCACCTCCAGATGTGGGATATATGCGGCAAAACAAAAACCAGGGAACTCACCACCTTGTCCTTTCTTGGGTTCCGCTGGTCTACCTTCTTCTACCTTTCAGAGTCTTCTAGTCTTCTTATGTTTGTTATATATATATAATGTCCAGAGTTTTTAGTTGTACTTAGCAGGAGGAATAGGGTAAAGTACATCTGCTCCATCTTCCCAGAAGCAGAATTTCACTTGAATATAAATGTATTATTTTATCAAACACTCAGAATAAGTCCACCAAAGAGATTATACCCATTTTTGAGATGAAGAAACTGAGATTCAAATGTCATTCAACCAATGAGCAGTATAGAGAGGATGGAAGATACTGGGAGAAGAATCAGAGTACAAGTGGGAGTACAATACCTCACTTCCTTTCTCCTTCCTGCAGGTAGCTGCATCTTGGCTCTTTAGAGAGAGGGAGGGAGAGCGGTGGGGACCTACAACAGAACCTTCTTGATCCCAGGCTGTGGTTCTCCAGCCTCTTCTGCTCCATCAGGTGTATTCCTAACTCCTGCAAGGATGCCTGTACCCCGTCTCTGGCAGGAGAAGCCATAGCCACCCTTGCCCTTCTCCCGCTCTGCTCCCTTTCTACTGTCCTATGCTCGGTCACCTCTCCATTGGGTAAGTGGCTTATTTTCTGAGCCTTTTCTTGTTTCATACATAATCCCTTGCCTCCTCGACAGCACTGTCCATGAAATACACAAGAAATCCTTCCATGAAACACTAAAGAGAGGCCTGGGTTAGTGGATCCTTCTTTGAGTACCTCAAGAAATACACCTGGCAGGCCCGTCTTTAAAATGTGTGGCCTGGAGAGAACAAGTGCAGGCTTTGGGTCCAGCTTCCCATTTCAATCCTCAGCTTCTCTCTGCACCATGAGGGGCCTTGCATATGTCCAAACCCCATCCATGCCATTCCCCAGGAACAGCTCTCCCTGCAGCCCAGTCTGTTTGAGGAAGAAAGACTTAGGGAGGAGATCCAAGCAGGATCTTGGAAAGTCATTTAAAGGGGGTGGATTCTAGGGATCACACATGGTCCAGAGAGAGAAGGTGCAGGCTCTGATAGGAGCATCCCCTTGGCCTTGTGAACTCTTAGCCTTGTACAAAAGCACACAGTTGGAATTTGGCTCAAATGGGGCCCACGGCCTTTCTGTTCAAAGTGTGGCCTGTAGACTGGTGGCACTGGCATCACCAGGAAACTTTTTGTAAGTACAGAATCTTAGACCCCACACCAGAGCTACCGAACCAGAATCTACACTTTAACAAGACACTCAGGTGATCTGTGTGAACCTTAGAATTTGAGAAGCCCTGCTCTCAAGCTGGGGCCCAGAGACCCTGAGTATAGGGCAGCATTGCCTTCCGGGGGTGTTGGGGGCAGGAGTGGCTCCTCTTATGGCTAGTAGTTTATAAGCCATATGGGAGAATCTAGACCTCACCCAGTCTAGGGGACAGGGAGTTTTCTAGTAGTTCTCCAACCCCTTATTTCCTGGGGAAGTGGACGGAAATTTCAATGGGTCCTGATTCTTACTCCATGAACTTCTTAAGTATGTATTCCCAGGAAAATGACTTCCTTTCCCAGAATCTTGGACCTCTTGTCTGAACAATAAAGAGGTTGGACCACACGATCTCTTTGATCCTCCTTCCAGGAAAGCCAAACTTCCTTGAATGAGAAGCAGCATAAGATTATGAAAAGTATGTGGATTTTTGAGGCAAGCTGAACCTGTTTCACATTATAGCTCTACTACATATTACTTGTATGACCTTGTGCAACTCAGTCTCTCTGATCCTCAATTTCCTGTCTCAATCGGTGGGGTGATAAAACCACTCTATCAGCATAGATGGACAAAGAGGACCTAACACAGGACTGTAGCCCATAACACAGGCTCAACAAATACTAGTGTTTATTCCAGCACTAGTATTTATGCCTTTTGTAGAAAACTGGCTGATTCTATAGCCAGAACAAAGACTTCAGAACTTGAAGAAATGAGTCCCTGTTTCTTCATCTTTTTACCTTTTTTCACAAAAAGGTCTGAACATTGTTGGCAATACCAGAGGCAGAAGGACTTAGTTTTGAACCAGTGGTCAGATCCATCAAATAAATCCCCTGCTCCCATTCAGACTGAACACAGGGGACTAATTCTCATGTTCTGTTATCTCCCTCTCTATACACTGAATAACCAGGGGACTTCCAGAAAGACACCACACGAAGAGAGACAAAGTTTCTATAGGAGAAGGAATAAAAATGAATCACCCTATCTTGATTTTCCCTCCCTTGTATCTACAAAAGGCAAAGCAGCTAAGTCAATTGGTGAAGGAGAGAGAAGAGATAGAGAGAAGGTCCCAACAGGAGTCATGAGTCACTGATGCCCGACTGGATTTGTTTATACTTTTAAGAGACCAGCCATGGGGAAAAAAAGAAAAAAGAAATAAGATGGTAGAGCAGAATGGCCATGAATTTTTAAACTTACAGTTAGCTAGAGGGAAAATACCCTTTTTGACACATTTTCATCCCACATGGAAGTACAATATTAATTGGCTTAGCAGACTTACAATCAGCAATTTCTTTTGTAGTGCACAGGTTAATGGAGTTGCCAGAGTGTCTCAGATATGAAATCGTTGCCTCGTAATTATGTGGTTCTTCAAATTCAGCACTGAGAAGCATGGAGAGAAAAGGTTACTTAAAACATTTGTTTAAACATATAATAAAGCTTTTTGTGTTTTTTCCTCATTAAAGAAATATAAATATGACTGGCCAATATGGTGGCCTAAGCAGATATGAAAGGTGCATCACCCCTAAACACAGGAATTCTAGATGAAATATGATAATGTGAAGAATTGTTCAAAGTTTACAGAGCTCACATAGAAATTAATAAAGTAAAACCCCCAGGTGCCATAGAGAGGAAACTCACAATTAAAGATGCAAGTGAGAACCGCAGTAAAGAGACTCAAAGGGAAATTAAGACCAGATAAAGAGTGATCTTAATGGCTGGGCAACTGGATTTAATGTCTGAGTCAAAAGGTAAATCTGAGCCCCCAGGGCCTCATATGAATAGGAAGCTGGAACAGCATAAACTCCAGAGTCATAAAATGCTGTCCCATTTGTAAAACAAATTCTAAAAAAAATCTGTCCATTCTCCCAGGGAATGTGCAAGGAAGCTTGCTATGGCCATAGAAGCTGAAAGAGTAACTCATGAGAAATCAGAAACTCAAAAACCCAGGCAATGGGCCGGCCCGGTGGCGCACTGCTACAGTGCACCACTTGGGAAGTGTGGCGGCGCTCCCGCTGAGGGTTCGGATCCCACATACAGACCGGCCGCTCACTGGCTGAGCGAGGTGCGGGTCCTAACTTCATAGTAAACAGGAAAATGGAAATCAAGACAATGAGAATTTAGTTCACACCCATCAGATTATCAAGTATCCAGTTTGAAAATAATACCTCATTTGGCAAGAAGATAAAGAAACAGAAAATCCATATGCTGCTTTAAGAGTATGAATTGGCACAACCATTTTGGAGGATAATTTTTCAATATCTAGTAAGATCTGTGTATTTCAGAGACACAAGCCAAAACTCGTACTTGAAACCCAAAACTCCCTTGCAAAGGTGAATCTGAAATTATTCTGTAAAGATGCTTCCACGACACGTGGCATCTATTGTTTCCAAATAAAACAATTACCATTCCAAAAATATATATATATATGATAGTAAAAAAACTGAAAACCACACAAGGAGATGAGCCATCATAAGATAGTCAGAAGATATAACTAATGGGGGAAATAATAGAATAACAAGAAAGTGAATTTAAAATAAGTATGTTTTCAGTGTTGAGAGAAATAAAGTGAGGAATAATAGCCATTAGGTAAAAATAAGAGACGGAAAAAAAGAACTGGTAGATTTGGGGACAGAAAAAAGGAGTTAGAGGAATCACAAATACAGTTGTTGAAATAAAAATTTTAATGTAGAGACTGAAAGGTAGACTAGACGCAGCAGAAGAGGGAATTGGTGAATTAGTTAAATCTGATGAAATCACGTGGAATATAGCATAGAGAGATTCAAGAGAAGTTAAGAGATAGGGAAAATAGAATAAGATCCAACATACGTATACTAGGAATTTTGAAAGGAAAGAAGAGAGAGAATGATGAAAAGGAGTCAATATTCAAACAAGAGACTTTTCTAAAATTTAAGAAGACTTCTAAAATTGAAAAGGGTCATAAGTTCTTCTATTGAAGCACCCTTAATAATGAGAAATAACAATAAATCCACATGTACACACTTTGTAATAAATTAGCATAAGTCAAAGAAAGGAAAAAGACATAAAACCTACATGAGTGAAAAGACAGAGTTTCTACTAAGGAACAAAAATCAGACTATGGACTTCTCATTAGCAACCTGGATGGTGGAGATGGTGGATAATATCTTAAAATACTAGGAATTGAAAAAAGCTAACATAAAATTCTATTTCACCTAAATTACCTTTGAAGAGTGAGAGAGAAACAAAGACATTTTCAGAATGAAAGTGCATGCACTTACTACTCACAGATCCTTACTAAAATACATCAAAATGACATATTTCAGCCAAAAGAAATTTTTAGTTGTTTGGGAAATCTAAAATACAACTGGAAAAAATAGTGCATGAATGAATTAGCTGCCAAATAATTTTGTTTGTTTTTCAGAAATGTTATTCTGAACCTTATATATTCTCTGATCAGTGCTAAACATATGGAGCTTCAGCCTATACAACTATAGAAAATTAACCATCAAAAGAATATTTATAAAAGCATTAGTTTTATTTTGCTATTTTACAAAATAAGAAAATAAGGTGTACAGAAATTGATTGTACTATTTTTTTTTTTAAGAATCCTAATACAAACATTTTTAATTCTTATTTTGGTACTCATTCCATTCCATAAAATTATTATTATTATTAGTTTATTTTGATAAGAATTTTTCAACTATTTCCTGATGGTTTCTAGAAGTGTCAGATCCCTGATTTTAAGCAAAATAAAGGGGAAAAAAATGGACTATGAAAAAAAGAGAGATTTTAACCCAAACTCACTGAATAAAATACTGGAACAATGAATTAAGCAACATTAGAAATAACTCAAGAACAACTAAAATTCATTCCAAGACTTCAAGGATGGCTTCAATGATAGAAAATCTACCATTGCAATTAATCACACTGTTTTGATAAAAGAGGAAAAAAAAAACCATTATTTTAATAGATGCATAAAAACATTTCATGGAGATAAACTTTCTTAATTAGATTAACTTCCAACAAATATCATACTTAACTGTGAAGTGTAACAGAGTTAATATCTAAACTCTATTGGGAACTTCAGCAATAGGAAAAAGACAAATAACCCCACAGAAAATTGGACAAAAGTATATGACAGACATCTCAGAAGAGTTAAATTGAATAGCTCATAAAAGCAAATTCCTAACTTCATAGTAAACAGGAAAATGGAAATCAAGACAATGAGAATTTAGTTCACACCCATCAGATTATCAAGTATCCAGTTTGAAAATAATACCTCATTTGGCAAGAAGATAAAGAAACAGAAAATCCATATGCTGCTTTAAGAGTATGAATTGGCACAACCATTTTGGAGGATAATTTTTCAATATCTAGTAACACTTAAGTTGTTTATTTACTACCACTTAGCAATTCTACTTCTAAGTAAATAGCTTTGAGAAACCTGCTTGTATTCATTCACCTAGAAACATAAGATGATTACTGCAGCACTGTCTACAATGGCGAAAATTCAAAACAACCTGCATGTCCCTCATTAAGGGTCAGCTTTGATCAGAAATGAATAAATATCTGACTTCAGATGATTATAAATAATTTCAACCAAATGTTTTTTTGAAAAAGGCATCTTTAGGATCAATTGTCTTTACGGAGAGAGAGTCTCAGGATTAATGTTAAAAGGGACAAAGGACATTGTAGCTGTATTTAAACCTGCTTCTTTGCTACCTGAAAATGTCTTTTATCTTTTCCCTCAGTCCATTAAAGCTAGATCTGAGATCCACCTTGATTTTATACAGTGTGGATCAATATAAAGAACTTGGATCACAGAGAAGAAGTAACTCTATGATTTAAATATAGCTATGTTTCAATTTCTTTATTCCTTATTTCCACACTTATGAAAAATGTCTGTCTCCAGCAGTACAGATGCTATCAGGAGGCAGCGTAGAATAACAGGCAGACCTGGAGCATGGGGCCGGACAGATATAAATCTGAATCCTAGCTCTCTTCCACTTTCTAGTTATAAAGTACTAGATAAATACCTTAACTCTCCATGTCCTACTTTACAAAATAGTGACAATTAAATTTACTTTAAATGGATATTGTGGATATTGGAGGACAGAAATGATTGTATTTTTAAAAGATAAATTTTGAGGTTTGCATTTTGTAAAGTTCTTTTATTACTGGCATAGGATCTGGTTTCTACCTTTTCATACTGTCTTATAGAAAACCTCTAGCAATTGAAATACTACATCATAAAACTTTAATGTTTCTTAATGATATCTTCAATATTATCTAGGTTCGAGAAGCAACAGCTCCTTAAATGCAAGGCAAGTGTTAAAGATGATTTACAAAACCAGAAATTTTGTAATTTTGTTTAGACCCTTAGATAGAATTCTACCTTCAAAATAAATTTTTGAACAAGCAGTATCTCTTTGACTGAAGCATAGACAAGTGACCTCTTCTCATGGTTGTTTCCACTTGCCATGTCTACCTCTGGACCACAGCCCTGAGATCTCTCTGCAGAATCTCTCATTGTCCTTAGAAGAATGATTTGTCACCTTCCACATTAGGCTGTACTCTCTGAAGACGTGGCTCACACAGCTGATTCAAGCATCTGTTCACTTGATCAAATAATGAAATTCATCACAGTAATACCTGTAGCTACTATTGAGGGTTTGCCATGTGTTAGACACTGTGCTTAGATTCAGTATGTGCATTTTCACTGGCTCTGTCATCCTGAGCTGTCTTTTAGGTTCTTAGAGCCTTAATTTCCTCACAGGGTGACTGTGTGAGAATAAATGAGTTACCACAAAGGAAATGCCCAAGAGGCAATTTTCTTGTCTTCTCTGCCACATTACATAACAGTAAGTCAAAAAGTTTCACTGCAAGAAAGTTCTGAGAAATCTAAAGACAACCTTGCATTGAGTAGGATGGTTGAGACTTGGACAGTAAAACCTGTAAGCTGTACTTTTGTATTTATTTTATAAGGGTGGTGGGGGTGTTGTGGACCTAAGTTGAAAACCCAGATTTTTCCACTTCTTATTTCAATGGGCCACAAATTTTGGAAATAGGGATAGTTTAGCCAGCAGGTGCTCTCTGTGACATTCTATAGGTTCCTGGTGACAAGGGGGTGTGAGAGCATCTGGTTTCTCAATTCCCAAATTTCAAACTGGGCAAATTCCTATTTCCTGTAAGTACTTCTTATAAGACGACTCTCCCCACAGGCCTTCACATTGAGAAATCCTTCGCTTGACTTAAATGATCGGCAATTAGATTTTAAAAAATGGCATCCATGCTATCTAAAATAGATCTCAAAATGCATTTGTACCAGGTTCACAAAAATACATGATAAATTTTAAAGGATATTTTTCTCTTGTAAGGTATTAAAACTTTTGTCTCTACATATTTTTACAAAACACACACACGCACACACATGTGTGCATATTGTATAATATATATTTTTATATTTGGGTATATATATTTTTATATGTGTTTATATACATATACACATATATATACACAACCCTATCACCACAGTACCATAACTTTACTGATTCTACTATGACTTTTACTACAACAACTAACAATAAATACATCTTCAACATCTCTCAGTCCTGGACACTAGGTTTTTTTCTTTTATTCATATATTTATAACCCCATTATTTCTACAGAGGACCACAAAACTATGATGAGCAAGTAAATGTTACTGAAGTGCTGCATAACATTACAAAATATTCTATCTCCTCGGCTTCAGTTTAACTCTGAAGCTACATTGTCAAAGCGTTGATTTCATTCATAAGGAGGGCATGTAAACAATAATAATAGCTAATAATTATTGAGAATTCACTATGAGCCAGGCATTGTTCCAATTGTACGTGTCAATTCATTTGCCCCTATAAAGTAGATACTATCAGTCCTTACATGTTGAGATGAGGAAACTGAGGCATAATCCAAGCTCACAGAGTAGTAAATGGCAGAGCACAGATTACAGATTAGAAGCCGGGTATGTGACTCCAGAATCTGTGGTCTTAGCCACTGTGCTATATACCGTCTCACACAGGGAAAGTACCAGTCGAAGTCAACATAGCAGGAGTAGCTCACACTGCAGTGAAAGTCATCAAAGAAATGGGTCATTAGAACCTAGAGCTAAGAAGACCCCAGAGGACTGTCCAAGCTATTAACCAAAGCCATAATGGGAGAAGAGCATGTCTACAAAAGATGCAAAAGTAAAAATATTCTAAGCTTTCTCATTCATTAAGTCGCACATTCTTATTCACTCTTTGAAAAAACTATATTCATGTTAGCAGTATATATGTTATCTCATTTAATCCTCTCAGTAGCACTATGAGGCATTTTACAGATGAGGAAACTGAGGCCTGAAGATATTCAATAACTTGCCCAGGATAGCACTGTTGGTAAGTAGCACAGGGGGTATGGAAATAGTCCATTGGTCTTTCTCTCTGCACTACAAGTCACTCTAGAACCAAGGGAAACCTGAAAAAAGAAAATAATGAAGCACCGGATGATGGTGAAAGTCAAGCAGTTTATGAATGGGTTCAGGATGATATTTTTCAAGACTTTGTTAGGCTGATCCAACAGTTTCACAGATCAATTCTCCTATATATTAGTCATTTATATGGGGAGAACGTGACAATGAAGCTACTATTCTCTGAGCCTGGCATTATCAGCTATAAAATAAAAATTTTATTTAACCTGTAATTTGAGGTTAGGGCGGAACCAGTGGTGAATTTGGAATGACTTTCTAAAAGCATTTGTCTTCTACTAATGCAACTGCTAAAGCAGATTCTTAATAAACCAGTGGCAACCTCAGCGGCATAAAACAAAATGACCACAAGCCCTCATCGAAATAAGGGATTGTGGTTATTTTGATCTCTAAGGTCAAATTTTTAAAAATCTGCATTTCAAATTTCAGAGCGTCTGTTCTGAGGTGTGCCCATCTGTTTTACAGAGAGAGAAGCAGGGTCTTCCTCGGAGCTAGTGGCAGCCTTTCACTAGGAGTCCCATCTGACTGCCAGTCTGCTGCCTGGAGCTTAGACCTTGATACAGCCAAGCCCCGCTACTAAGAACAAACAACAAGTCACTGCCTTTTATCCAGTGTTTACAACACTGTAATTCTACTTTGCAGAATTAAAGATGCGCATCTCAGTCCTCACAATCACCCTAGGAGATGGGATTTGATTCCACCATTTCCTATAGGAGAATGTGGAAGTCCCTGAGATACTAAATAACTTTTCCGAGTCCACATAGCTAGTTTGTGGAACTGGAAACATGAATCCAAGCCTTTCTGACCCCAGAATCTATGCTTTTAACTCTTTATAACATACTTTCTGGATCTTCTATTTTGTAAACATTGCTGCCATTCAACTTAAACAAACTTCAATTATGCAGCTGGTAAGAAAGAAATATTAGACCCTCTCCTGGTTTTGAAGAATTTATAATTTAGAAAGAGAGGTGAGGTACACCCAGGAAAATGGGAAATAACAAAAATAGACTGGATATGATTTGAGTCTCAAGCTGGATACCATCTAAGTTCATTCCCCTACTCAGACAACATTTATTGAGCAGCTATTACACGCTGCCGGACCCCTCCCCCGACCCCACACCCTGCCACTACACATTCTAATCATGTCACGTTACCTGTATTTCCTGAACACATCAGGCTGTTTCCTGCCTCTATGCTTTTGTGCATGTGATTCCTCTGCTTGCAATATCCTTATCACCAATGTCCCATGCACAACCCTATTTTTCTCTTTAACATACTAAATGTTATTCTGCTTGGCCCTTCCATGATCTATTCTCCACAGCCAGAGTGCTGTGCTCTCTCCTATCTTGAGGACCTTGCAAACGTTGTTCCTGCTGCCTGGGATATCTTCTGTATGGCCTGCTCCTCAACCATCCAGTCTCACCTTTGTTCCCTTTCACAAAATCTTTCTCCAGCTATCTTTTCCAAATAGCCCTCCTCCCCATCTATTTCTATATACCATCATACTCTGCCTCATGCCCTTGTTAGTCATTGTCATAGTCTTGAAATTATTATTACTTTTTGAAACTAGTTCAATTTTGTCTTTCTTGCTCTGGGAGGTGAAAAACATTATCCCTTCTTTCATGGGGTTTACAGTTTAATAGATATCTCTAGGGTGTCCCATCCAAGTACTAACCAGGCCCGACCCTGCTTAGCTTCCGAGATCAGACGAGAAGGTATACCTGTTCCCCAATGTTCATCGCAGCACTCTTCACAATAGCCAAGAGTTGGAACCAGCCCAAATGTCCATCATCGGATGAGTGGATACGGAAAATGTGGTACATCTACACAATGGAATACTACTCAGCTATAAAAATGAATGAAATACTGTCAAAACCGGGGGGGGGGGAAGAAGACATAACTACAATTCCTTGAAGTTGATACCACAAGCAAACAGAAAGGACATTGTTGGGGGGGAGGGGGAGAGGGAGGAGGGAGGGAGGTTTCAGTAATGGGCCACAATAATCAACCACATTGTATATCAACAAAATAAAATTAAAAAAAAAATAAATAAAAACCCTTCATGGTGGAAAAAATCTGAGACAGGATAATATGGCTAAAAATCTGTAATATGGCCTTGAGTTCACATCCTGAATAAGCTTTGTATGTTCTTGCACTTTAGGGCAAGTCATGAAACATTTCTGGCTCTTGGTTTCTCATCTACAAAATGGGAGTATTAATTTTGCTCTATGACGGGCATGTGGATAAAGTCAGTCTAACAGATACAAAAGGTCTGAGCAATACCCAGTGTGTGGCCATGCTCAAGATTAGTTTCCATTCAACCTTACCGCATATGCCTTTGTACAAAAATAAGCTTCAAGTTTGTAACTTGTGATTGCCTGATTTTTTCCACAATCATGACTTTTTCCAGCTTATCATCTGAAGGCCACTGAAGAGAAAAGGCAACACTGGGCTCCAAACCCTTTCACCCTGGCCAGCCTCCCTGTACCCTGGCATGGTTGACCCAGTGCCAGTCGCACCCACCTGGATTACTTAACCTGACCCTCTGTGGTCAGATAGTCTTCAAATCACTTACTTCATGGGGTGGCGGCGGCTGGGAGTTTTAAAATGAGAGAATGGATGGAAGTATAAGGCACAGGTCTTTGTCTAAGGAAAGTGCTCAGTAAATAGAGCTACAGGTGAATTTTTTTAAAGGAGGAATATTTGAAAACTTCTCCCTGGAGACTTTGCACCAGTTAGTCCCTTTCGTGGAATGTTCTCATAGACCTTTCTATGGCTGGATCCTTGTTATTCAGTTCTCACCCCAAATGTCACCACCTCCGAGAGGCCTTTCTTAATCATCCTAAACTTTATTTCACTTCCAATCCCCAGTTATTATCCTAATGCTCTTAAACTTTTCCTTCATAGCACTTATTACTGTTCAAATAAGGGCTACGGATGGATTTGTTTGGCTGCAGTGTTGTTATTATTATTGTCGTTTTGCTTGAATGACTTAGTAAGGCCAGGTTCCATTCCCCACTTCCATATGGTCCACCACCCTCCCCATTGTCTAACACGGGTGCTGGACAGAGTCATGTGACCTGCCCGCCCTGGAAGGCATCTGTGTTTCCCACTCTGCAGGGGGCGGAAATACCAACAATGCAAAACCGAAAGTATGTTCCAAAGTGCTAGGTATGAACAAGGTCACCCAGAAGTCTCAAAGTAGGCTTCTACTAGCTTTTAAAGACTATCATTAAAACGAAATACAAAATTTAAAAGTTGAAGACAGAAAATGACAGGTTCCCAAGAACCCACCAAGAGACCCTCGTTTGAGAAACACTACGCAGTCTGAATCGTCTCTGCTCCTGAAATAAGCAGCCTTTCCCTTCCTGATGTGTCTGAGTCAAAGATTCCCTGAGTCAGGACTACCCTTTGACATTCCTAATGGGAGAGAAGCCACATTTATAGCTAATGAATAAAATATCAGCCAACTCTGCTAAGTACTGACAGAGACCAAGTACTGACAGAGACCCAGTGCTGATTGCTGCTCTGGGACTAACTAACCTGCTTTGCTCACACAAAAGGCACTGCTTACTCAAGAAGGATGCCAGCCAGCTTGGTTTGCATGGAAAAGGCATGGCAGAGAAAAATCTCCAGAGAGCCATTTCACTGTTGGGAACTAATGAGACATTAATATTTAAGAGACAACAAAGGATGGAGAGGTCAAGGGTTGAAGAGATTAAACTCATTGAGCATCTCCTGTGTACTCCATGCTTTACACAATTTAACTCACTTGGTCTTCATACCAACACAGTAGAGCAAATACTATTTTTGTGTCCATTTTGGAGATGTGTATATCAAAGTTCTGAGCTGTTAAGTGACCTAAGGTGTAGAGGAGGAGTTCGGACTTTTGCTAATCTGGTTCCAGAACCTGTCCTTATTCTACTACACAATGCTGCTTCTCAGATTTAATATACAATATGAAGAGCCCAGAAATGAAAGATGGCTATTGAAGGTGCACTGAGTTCTTAACAAGATGATTAAAATATGTATTCATAGAAATACAGCTAGAATACAGACCCTTGTTTTATAAATAATGGTTGAAAAATGTGAGAATTTTAATTTAGAGAAGAATGTAGCCTTTAGATGTTTTAAGAACTGTCACGTAAAGAAGAAATAAAGGTAATGTCTGTTGTACCAAAGAGGACAGATGGTTGGGAGTTTAGGGTAGGGAGGTCAATATTTTCCAGTTCAACTTGAAGGACTTTGAAATAAATAAATAAATAAAAGTGTGTGTGCAGATGCATGTAAGATATTTTGTGTACTTTGTATAGTGCTGTTTTTAATGTACAGAAAAGTGCTTGGCTTACAGTGTATGCTCAATAAATATGTTTTAAATGAATAAAATCTGAATCTTGTACAAAACAACACACTTTATGATTACAAGCATTTGATGAATGAATAAGCAAAATTATTTGTAAGTCTGGTTCTCCTTCTAAGACTAACCTTTTTGAGAACAGGAGCATCTCTGTGAGAGAGGCGAGGTACACAGTCAGAAGAGTTTGGGCATATCTGGGTCAGAATCATGGCACAGCAAGTGGCAAACTTTCTGAGCCCAAGTGTCTTGAGCTGTAAAATGAGGATGGCAGCAGCAACTGTGCAGCCCTCTCGAGGCCACCAAATGGGAAATGTGTATAAAGTAGCCAGCTCAGTGCATGACACATCAAAGGGCTCAGTAGATATTATTTTGTTGAGTGCCTTAATGAACCGATGCTACCGTAGCAAATTCTTAGAATGAATGCACCAAAAATAGAACGTCCTTTATCCCATTACCAATCCCTAGCATTACGCCAGCTGCCCAGAACGTTCTTTAGCCTCTAATTTGATTTACGACTATAGAAGCTGATGCTTCAATTTACTCAACCCAACCGTGTAATAAAAAGAAGAACCTTAGAGGACCATCTTGGTAACTTAACGTCAGCACAGTAGTTAAATACAGTTTATTTAATCCTTCTTTTACAACAGAAGTTGCAGTTTGTTGCTTATAAATCTGCTCTTCCCACAACCCTTCTGAGAAATACAGACACTTGGCTTGTGCTTATGCCTGCTTGTGGGCAGGCTAAGTAGCCTGGCTGATGTGCCACCATCCCCACAATTAAGGACACGTACTTACCTTTCTGGAGTCAGGTAGCCTTCTTTCACAGCCACTACAAGAGCAAGAGGGAGAGTGAAAAAAAAAAAAAAAAAGGCACTGGCAGCATCCTGGTGAAAACGAATTATGCTCGTGGGATGACCTGACCCAGAGATGAAGTGTGGAGTGGCAGCACATCTATGTCGCAAACATCCCCTACCTGCACCCCAGCACCCAGGGGACTGCCTGTCTCTGCATTGCAGTGCTTGCCCACACTTTATGGTATTTATTTATGGGTACAATCTCTTGCACTAGACCTCGATCTCCTTGAGGACTAGAACCTGTGGGGTTTATCTCTTAATCTTTTGTTTCCATCACAGGACTGACACAAAGAGAATAACTGCTCATTGCTTGTTTAGAGTAATCACTGATCACTGATAGAGTGCTTACTGGTGTGCCAAGCATTGTTTAAGCTCTTTCCAAGTATCATCTCATTATCTTTACAATAATCCTACGAGCTCAGTGGTATAATCATTTATCTCCATTTTACAGATAAGGAAAAATGAGGCTCAGTGAGTAACATGCCCAAACTTAGGTAGCTAGAGAGTGGGGGAGCTGAGATCTTCAGAGCACACTTTATTACAAAAGATTTAGTACTTTGTTCTATGCTCTCTGACAACCTTCTTCCCTTTCAGAAAGGTCATGTGCAGGCCTTCTTTGATATGGAGGTGGCCATATTACTAAAGTATACTTACAAGAGCTCCATCGCTCTCCCTCCAGAGTTTTCTTTTAGGATAAGACTTAATGATGACTTGCAGCAGTGGTTCTCAAAGTGTGGTCCCTGGACCAGCAACAGCATCACCTGGGAACTTGCTAAAAGGCAAATTCTCAGGATCCAATCCAGACAAACTCAATCAGAAACTTTGAGGCCCAGCAATTTGTTTTAATAAGTCCTCTAGGTGATTCTGACACATACTCAAGTTTGAGAACTGCTGAGTTGGAGTAATTTAATCAAGAGGTTGCCCAGAGCAGTCAAATGAACACTCGAAGACAGCACTCGCGCTCCCAGCATACCATCTGCTGGCGCTGACAGCCACAGTAAAGCACACGTTAGCAGAGCACTACACGGCACCCCAAAGTGCACGTTCACCTCATGTTTCACTAGCGCAAACATAAGCGAAGGCGTTTAAATTGTCAACAAGGTCAGGCTGTGATGAGAGTGGTGAGGGATGAGAGGTGTTTCCCTAAATAGCAGAGGAAGACACAAAACAGCACAGAGGAATGGCTTCTAAGGATGCTTCGGTTCCTGGAAAGGATCAGGGGGGCAGTGGGGGGAAGGGGGGCCTTCAATTAATTACCAAAGGCAGATCACAGAGGCCTGAGAGGACCCCCATAGGATCTCAGGTCAAGTTCACCCTGACTTCCTTCCTTTTCACTCCCTCTCCACTTCTGCACCTGGACTGTGTTGACAACACAGGTTTTGCAAGAAACAGAGGCTCAACCGCCTCCCTGCTTGGTGACTTTTCCTTTTCTTCCTCTTGGACAGATTCCCAGTGATTAAATGCCATGCTCTCAGGGGAAGCGGGCTGGCCCAGGAGCGATAAGGGGCCAATTCCCAAAGATCTGTCATTTCATGGGCAACCTGCCATGGCCTCTATGTGAGAATAAGCAGTGATGGATGTCCAGCCCCATGGAAAAGCAGTAGTGGCATTGTCACCTGAGTGTCAATGCAGGAGGAAAGTGACATGCAAGAGTCACAGCCATTCCTTACCTTCCCTTTGGGTCTTGGCAGTAGCAGCTGGCTGCCTCTGGAAGGCCTGGAGGCTCACAACAGGGGGCTTTGAAGGCTTTGGAGGACGAGGACCCAGGGACTCGATGGAAGGCAGTGGCTTTGTTTTGGGAGGTTGGTGACGCCTGATAAACGCCTGTTTTTCTGAGCACAGACAGGAAAAAATGTAGGCTATTATTATTTCCATTTTGTGGCTTTGTTGGATGGAACTACTGGTTTTTTGCCTCAGTCTCACTCCCCTCCAATCCATCCTCTACCCTGCAGCCAGAGTGCCCTGATCAAACACAAAGCTGACCACGTCACCCACCCTGCTGCCCCACTGGCTTCCCCAGCATGACACCCGTCCACTTGTTCTCTGCCATTTCCGCACACATGGCCCCTAAGTCTTCAGATTCTTTTCTCGTCACACTGTATCATCCTGCTTCCTGAAGCCCAAACATCGATCACTCACACCACTGGTTTCTCAGTTCTCCAGATTTGATTTTAAAAGCCTTACAAAGCTTTCATATATCCAAGATTTTGTTCATGCCATTCCTGGTTCTGGAATGCTACTCCCTCTCTTGGCAAATTTTGACTCACTCTTTTAAAGCTTATCTCCAATGGTACTTCCTTTAGAAAGCTTTTCTCCATTTCTACCAGAAATCAAACCCAGAATTAACCACTTCCTGATTTGTATCCCTATAGCACATTGTTAATACCTCTATATCAGTATTATGATATTAAAGAGGCTGGTCTATCCTCCCATTAAACATGGGCTCCTGTGGACAGAGATTATGTCATATTGCTCTCCCAGCACCAAGCACAAGGCCTGCTTCAGGGGAGACAGGCAATGACTATTAATTGAGAGGATTCTTCTAGCATGTATGATGTGCAAATAACGTGGGGGCTATAGAGGAGTAAGAATTGGTCTCTGATTTTTAGGGCTTATAGCCTAGCACTGGCTTCAAGGCTGAATTTGTGGTAGGTGGGTACCTGTGAATTGTGTCCTGGAATTTTCTGGGACACTCTCAATTTTATATACTTTGTCTTTCTGCACTCATAAATCCAACTCCAACAAAAATTCCAATATTATATATAAAAATCATATCTGCCTCTTACACTGAGAATATCACAAAATCTTACATAATCCAAGTGCCTTAATTTTTAAGTTATGTAAAACAGTAGTTGACTATCCATGCTCAAGCTAAATAAGTGGACTTGCGTGTTGCATGTACCTCTATCATACTTCCTGTGGTGTCCTCTACCAGCTGGGAGGGGAGGGAAAGCTTCCATTGTGCCCTACTAGCAGGGATTACATGCCCAGAAACTCAGTCAGGGCCAAAGTTCCTTTCTTCTTAGGCTTTAATTATAAGTAAATGCCAGAAATTTCAGTCTTTATCAAATTGGGGAGAAGACATAGTGAAAATGAATTCTCACTTACAAATGGGGCCCCGAATTTTACCAGGCACTGTGCTAAGCAATTTACATGGGTTATCTCACTTAACTCTCTCAACAGCTCCATCTGGTAGGTAATCCATCTTTCTTTTCTTTCTCCCATCCATCCTTCTTTCCATCCATCTTTCTGACCACCCAATCTTCCTTCCCATCCCTTCATTGATAACTATATTTTTTTTATTATATTCCAGGCATTGTTCTAGGAGCTGCAGGTAGAGTGGAGAACATGAACAGATAAAGTCCTGCCTTCAGCAATTTTTATTCTAATAAGAGGAGACTGATGAGAAACAAGTAAACAAATAAACACACAAGATAATTATAGAGATCTGTAAGTTCTATGAAATAAATAAAACAGGATAATAAGAATGTGAACTGTTGATGGTGAAGCAGTGTTCTTTAGATAGAGAGGTTAGAGAAGGCTGATCTTGGAAAGTGCCAATTGAACTTAGACCTAAATGTAGCGATTCAAAGGTCAAAGAAATAAGGGTACAGAAAAAGCAAAGGCCCTGAGACATGACAAGTTCTGTTTAAAGAACGGCAAAAAATCTGGTGCACTGACTATGGGCTAGTGGGCTAAGGGAAGACGGGTAGGAGATGGGGAAGAGACAGAGCAGGGACCAGAACGCAGAGCCATGAAGAACATTGAGTAAGTAGTTTAGATTCTATTCTGAGTACAAAGAGAAACCTCATAGGGTTGTAAGCAGGAGATCTATCCATCTACCCATCCACCCATTCAATCATTCATTCAACAAATGTTTTCTAAGAACTTATTCAACCTGGCCTTGTTCCTCTAGGTGCTGGGCATATGGTGGTAAAGAAGATAGTCATTATCATCTTATAACTTACATCTTACTGAGCTGAACAAACACATATATCAGGTAGGGATAAATGATATGAAGAAAACCAAAGCAATGTGAGAAGACAGAGCGATGGGAGTGGGGCGGCTATTTTAGACAGAGTGATCAACAAGGTCCACTCAGAGCAGGTAGCACTAGAGCAGAGAGCTTGATGACATGAGGAAGTGAGATGACAGAGACCTGGCAGAAGAATGCTCCAGGCAGAGGGGTCGACAAGTGCAAAGACCTGGGGTGGAACCAGCTTGGGATATCTAAGGAAGAGTGAGGTGATATGGCAAGACAGGGAGAGGGTAAGAGAAGTCAGCAAGACCAAACTGCATGAGCCATTGTAAGGTGGTTGGAGTTGACTTGGAGCAGGAAAGGGATGTGATCTGATTTATGCCTTAGTGGATCACTCTGCCTGCTAGAGGGAGAACAGAACACAAGGGGGAAGAGTGTGGAAGCAGGGGGAGCCGCTGGGCTGATGAAATGGTCTGGGTGAGAGATGATGGTGGTGTGGACAAGGGCAGAGGCCACATCTGTCCAGATGTGGAGGGATTTGGAACACACTTTGGTAGTAGAACCAAGAGCTTGCTGATGGATTTGATGCCAAAAATGAGGGGGAGGGAAGAATAGAACATGACTCTTAGGTTTTTTGCTTGAGAAACTAGGAGGATAGTTGTGCTGTTTACTAAGAGAAAATTGGTGATTGATCTGATTTCTAGGAGAGCAGACCAGGCTCTAAGAAGTTATGCATATTGCCTAAGTTCATGCAGCTTGTAAGAAGTAGAGCTAGGACTCAAATCCAAATTTGCCCAAACTGTCTTGTAATGTAATTCCAGGAGATTAAGCACTTTACCCAAAGCTGAGATTACAATCTAGCAGATAGGGCTAGGACACTTCCGCTGGAGTTTGGAGCAAACATTGCCCAGGTCATGTATATGACCACCCCAAGTCAACAGGCTTTAAATTAGACCTCTCCCCCCAGTCCCATGGGAATGACATTTCTTACCTGGGGCCTGGATGGCAAGCTCACACTCATAGACAGACTGGCAGGGACTGCCTGATGGGCCTCTCTCAGGACCGGGGTTTTCCTGGCTCTTCCTGCCATGTTGAGAAAGTAGAAAAGAGGGATTTGCAGAGGTGGCAAGTAATTTTCTTTGGGCCACCAAATACCCCTGGGAAGGAACAGTCTGGGCTCCTTTTGCCTCCAGCTTCTTCCTTGGCTCCTCTTGGGTAAGCCCTATAACTTTTTCCCCTTCCACATGAAAGACCTTCCTTCTACAATTGGAAGGAAGAAGGGCAGATGACATCTCACTTTTCTGAGATGAAACCTTCTCCCAGTTCCAGAGCTTGACTCTGAAGCTATTGGCCACCATTACTTTCTCCTTATCGGTTATCCCAGCGTTTGATTGATTCACATCTAACAGCAGAGAAGGCTTCTGTGAATTTACTGCAGAAGACACAGCAGACATTTCCAGAGGTCCTGGAGAACTGGAACATTTCTGAATTTCACTCCTATGTTCCAACTTCATTTTCTGAGGTTTAAGAGGGTGGGACTCACCACTGGAACAATATGGGGGAGGTTGTCTGTGGCTGGATAAGATGGGTTTCCCACTGGCCAAAATTCGTGTGAACTGTGTGCTTCCAATGTCATCCTTTTGAGAAACACCTGCTGGAAATTTAGTAGGTCCTGGAAGAGGTGGAGTATCAAACTTCTGAAATTTGGCTTGAAGTTCCTTGAAGTTTCTTACCCCTTCCTAAAGCGTTAAAAACAAAACAAAACAAAAAAAAAGTGTCCCATTATTCCAGGAAAAATGCCAGTGTCATTAGCTGATGTTATGGTCTGAGTGTTTGGCCCCTTTAAAGCCCATGTGGTAGCTTGATTCACAATGTGGCAGTGTTGAAAGACAGGGACTTTGGGAGGTGATTGAATTGTGAGGTCTCTGCCCTCAAGAACAGATGAATCCATTCATGGATTAATGGGTTAATGGATAAATGGATTATCATGAGTGTGGACTGGTGGCGTTAGAAGGAAAACAAGTGAGCACATTAAGGTGTCCTTACTCAGCTCTCACTACGTGACACCCTGTGGGACTTTGTAGAGTCCTCACCAGGAAGAGGGCCCTCACCAGATGCTCCCTGTCAACTTTGGACTTCCCAGACTCCAAAACTGTGAGACACATTTTTTTTTCTTACAAATTACCCAGTTTCAGGTATTCTGTTACAAATGACAAAAAACAGACTATAACATGGCTGGCTTCACTGTACACGTTTAGAGGCTCTGACTGCTGATATAGAGCAATTGCTTACCTGGTGGGAGATATTAGCCAGTAACACTACTGTCAATGTGAAATGGAAAGAAAACAATTTTCTCCATTCTGAAACACTTCGGGTATGTTTAATTGTCTCACAGCATATAAAGAACACTTCTAGACAGTACTGACAATTGCTGATAAATTCCTCGATACAAAATTTTGATGGCTCCCCACTGCCTATAAAACTAAGTTCCAAACTGCTTGGTACAGCATTCACAGTTCTTCATAATGTAGTCCCGACTAGCTCAAAAGATCGTGGAATTACGATCTTCAACCAAAGCCCAACACAACTACCCTTAGACCAAACAGAACTGCTTACAATTTACCTAGAAGCCTTGTACTCTCCACCGCCCTGACTTTGCTCACAAAATCCAAAATCCATTCCCCATCTACTTGTCAACTGCTTTCTTGCACTTCAATGCCACCTCTCCATCAAGATCTCCCCTGGGGATGACAGGCAGAGAGAGCTTCTTCTCTCTCTCCTTGGTGTTTTCACAGCTCTTTATGTCTTGGCTGTTGAACTTAACACTATGGACTGGAGAAAAGAACAACTTAGGAACTAGACAGGCCTGTGTTCAAAGTCTGACTCTGCTCTTTACCATCTAGGCAAATATTTTGGAAAACTTGATCTTCTCACCATAAAAACAGGTTGTCAAGTGGTAGAAGGATTAAGGTTACTATATGTAAAGTATCCATAGTAGACCCATAATAAATAAAAGCCATTTATAAGAGTCTAGATGATCCCCTTCTATTTTTCACTCTCTCGGTAGATCGTGCTCTTCTGTCTAAATTCAGCTCAAATTCCGTACTGTAGTCCCCCCTTACCTGCGGTTTTGCTTTCCTTGGTTTTGGTTACCTAGGATACAGTACAATAAGAAATTTTTTTGGGGGGGGGGGTTGGGTACGTTCACGTAACTTTTATTGCAGTATATCGTTATAATTGCCCTATTTTATTATTAATTGCTGTTGTTCATCTGTTCCTATGCCTAAATTATAAATTAAACTTTATCATCAGTATGTATGCATAGGAAAAAAATACAGTACATATAGGGTTTGGTTTCATCCATAGTTTCAGGCATCCACCAGGGGTCTTAGATCATATCCCCTGCAGATAAGGGGGAGACTGCTGATTATGAAAATGATGGCAATAATGGCAGCCTAACGCTTTGAGTAGAGGAAAGGACGTGCCCAGGATTATAGAGTGGGTTGGTGGTGCGGCCAGGTAGGATTAGGCTTGACTCCTGCTATGTGCCCTTCCTATTGCTTCCCCCTTTCTCCCACTAGATCTCATTTATTTTGGGGAGTGCAACTTGTCATATTTTGCCTTCACAGGAGGTAGGACATCTAAGGGAGCCATTTCAAAAAGTAAGAGCCACTGTCCTCTCCTGATCATCAGAAAGGTTTTTAATTTCATGGACACAGACCATCTGCATGGCAGTTGACTTCTGATTTTGCCAGCTGAGGGAATGCTGGGTGACATTTTCTCACTGTGTTTACAGTTGACTCACACCTGCCCTCCAAACATTTAGGAAGGGGGGAAATTGAACCAGAAGCAGGAAGCAGGTGTCTGGGACATTGCCTGCATGCTCTCTCCTCTTTCCTCTCTTTCTCTCTCTTGCACACATTTCTCCACCTGCCTCCACCTCCCCTCCCCCAACACACATTCAGAGCTCTCTCCATAAATTGCCAAGGTTGGTTTCTAATACTTCCACCAGCAGACAAGTTAATTCAACTACACTTCCTCTCGCCTGATGTGGCAGAAGCTAGTGCCGGGCGTGGAATCAGGAGATCTGAGTGTGCAGCTCCGCTTGGCCATTTTCTGTTATGTGCCTTGGACAATTCACTTTGCTTCTCTAAGCCTTATTTTCCTCACTTTAAAATGGGACTTACATTTCTAACAATAGTTCGGGGCTACTGTAAGGATCAAATGAGGTGACACTTTGTACCTCATGAATATTCATAATCCAAAAAAGATTTTTAAAATTGTGATAAAATACACATGAACTATACCATCTTGACCATTTTTAAGTGTACAGTTTAGTAGTGCTAAATAGATTGACATTGTTGTGCAACTAGTCTCCAGAACTCTTTCATCTTGCAAACCTAAAATTCTATACCCATTAAATCATAACTCTGCATTCCACCCTCCAGTTCTACTTTCTGTCTCTATGAATTTGACTACTCAGAATCATAGTTTTTTTCTGTGACTGGCTTATTTCACTTAGTACAATGGCCTCAAGGTTTAGCCATGTTGTAACATGTGTTAAAATTTCCTTCCTTTTTAAAGCTAAATAATATTCATTGTATATATGTAACACATTCTGTTTATTCATTCTTCATCCAGTGGACCCTTGGGTTGCTTCCACGTTTTAGCTACTGTGAATGATGTTGCTATGAACATATGTATACATATATCTCTTTGAGACCCTGCTTTCAGTTCTTTTGGCTATGTTCCCAGAAGTGGAATCGCTGGATCATATGGCAATTCTATTTTTAATCTGAGGAATCTCCACTCTATTTTCCACAGCAACTATGCCATTTTACATTCTACCAAGAGTGCACAGAGGTTCCAATTTCTCCATATCCTTGCCAACACATTTTTTAATAGTAGCCAATCTAATGGGTATGAGTTGATCAGTGGTTAATATTTTTAAAGTAATATAATAATGATTATTTTTTATCTCTTCACCATCTGAAGCCACATAAACCACAGTTATCGCTTGGTAGATTTTAGTCTCTATAGGATTGATTAGTAGGAAATAGAATTATGGATTTGATAACCTCCAAACCAAGGTCCTGTGCAAAAATCACAGGTTCAGGAGGGTACAAACCTGATTATACCTGGATCATTCCTCTTTCAACAAATGTTTGTTAAGTGTCTAATGCATAGGCATAATATTGATTTAGACAGTCAAGGGCTCTGATCTTAAATATTACATTCTAATATCAGGGGGAGACAGAACATGATCAAATACACAAGGTAATATTAGAGATGAGTGCTGTATGGAGAACCACATGTATGATGCAGTAGTGACTGGCTGCCTATCAGTGATTTTCAGAGGTGGGGAAGAAAAGTCATCCATTTTCTTTGGCTCAGTCATATATCAAATTAGGGGTTGGCCTGGGTGATCTCCAAGGTCCCTTCCAGCACTAACATTTAGAGTTTCTTTTCCTTGCTGCAGATGGGAAATGAAAGTGATCCGTTTGTTTTTCACTATCCATCATCCATACAAGGGGGTTCAGGGTTGGGGGCATGAGGCAGTGGCATGAGGATGGGTGGGGAGGTGACCAAGGGGGCCTTCTGGTTAAAACCCTGCTCCATTTTACTCGTGCCACAGCCAGTCAGTCTCCAAATCCTACTGATCTTGAATCTTAAGCAGCCCATGAGCCTGCCGCGTCTTCACACCGGTGCCACCGCCTCCAATCTTCCACACTCACTGCTTGGAACGACTTCTTCATGGCCTCTTTGCTGCCAGTCTGAGCCCCTCTAATCTACCATTTACCCAGCTGTTAGACAAATCTGCTTAAAAACACAAATCTGATCATGCAAGTCTCTTACATGTTTAAAATCCTTCAATTTGGCTTCCTTAAAGCTTTCAAATAAGCTCAAACTCTTTTGCTTAGCACCTAAGACCCATCCTAATCCCAGCCTTTCTCAACATGCTTTCTTTCTTCTAGCCCCACCGAATTGCTTACACTTTCCCAAACCTGTTTTGCTCTTTCCCGTATCTGTACCTGTGCATGTGCTCTTTCCTCTGCTTGGAATGCCCATCTTTCTCCCAATTTCTTGAACTAGCAAATTTCTGCTTATTTAAAATTTAACTTATGTCACCTCAAAATATTTACTGGTTGCCTACTATGTGTGAGGCACTAGGGTTCCAAAGATCAACAAGGTAGTCCCTGATCTTTTAGAGCTCATGGAATAAGGGAAACAAACACAAAATAATCATTTTAATATAATACAGAAAATTATTAAATACGTGGCACAAAGTCTGCTACAGGAACATAGGAAAGAGGCTCATGATGTGAGCTGGGGGTGCAAAGACTCCTCAGCTAAAACAGGCAGCTGGGCAAACAACAGTGGAAAAGGTAGTGCAGAGAGAGAACAGTGTGGCACGTGGTGGGAGACAGCATGAGGTTTGTGCACATGGGAAGAGCAAGCAATCCCACGTGACTGGAGCCCCAGTATTCAGTGTGTGAGCTGGCGGAGAACGCAGAGGCCAAGTCTTCTTAAAGCAGTTGGGCTTCGTGTGCAGAGTGAGTGGCAAGTTGCTGTTGGGTTTCCTGGTGAGCAGCTAAATGCAATCTCTGACACATCTTTCATGACCAGTCTATGTAAAACAGCAACTCCCCTTCACTGTCTACCTACCATACCCTATGCATAGACCAGCTCATCCAACCCTTTCTAGGAACCTTCTGCTAACACAGAGCCTGAAGGCTCA